ACATTTTTTCTCCTGGTAGTGGGGGTACTCCTCCTCTTCCTCCTCCAAGTTTCCGATCTCCCTCTTCTTGCCGAGGGGGATGGTGTTCGGGTTCACCCAAGCGTTCACCTTCGTGTGGTGCCCTCGGGGAGGTCCCTGATGAGAAGGTCCCTCCTGCCGAGGGCTCTGGATAAACTGGGACAGATGGCCCGCTTGTATCAATCTCTCGATGGCCGTCTTTAGTTGATGGCAGTCATCGGTTCTGTGCCCCTGATGCCGATGGAAACGACAGTAGGGGAGGTGAGGGTTGATAGCATGTACCTCCGGGGGTGAGCTAGAATCGCGCTCAACGAGGCCCCTCTCCTCGGCAAAATCAAGAATGATGCTGACGGGGTGCGTCAATGGTGTCCGGGGGCGGTCCAGGAGAATGGGTTGTGCCCAAGTCTTAGGGTTGCTCTTATAACCTCCCCCGGGCTTGGCTTGGCCTTGCCGAGGGCGGTCATCAGAGGGTCCTGAAGTCTTGGGATGATTTGGAGGAGCCCCCGGCCCTCGGTTGTTCTTGTTGTCAGCCTTCGGGGGCTGCTGATCTGGATGCTGGTGGTATTTCTCCACCTCCTCGGCCTCAGCATATCGGTCCCCCCGCTGCAGGGCCCTTATGTAGTCGCGGGGGGGGGGGGGGGGGGGGTCAATGATGAGGCTCCTTGAAAAGTTGCCGGTGCGGAGGACGGTTTGTAGGAGGGTCAGGAGGGTCCCGTCGTCAGCACCGTCGACTTTGTCGGCTTCCGTCCTCCAGCGCTCCAGGAAGTCCCGAAGGGTCTCATCCCTCCTTTGACGTATGGTTAGGAGGTGGGAGAAGTGTTTCCTCGTGTGACGCCTCCCGGCAAATTGCGTCAAGAATCGCTGGGCGAGTTCTTGCCACGAATCAATGCAGCCTTCAGGCAACCGGTTGAACCATTCGTATGCCGGCCCCTCTAAGGTGGAGAGGAACCAACGACACAAATATTCGTCCGACGCCCCTACCATCATCATGCTGTTCTGATATTTGTTGTAGTGTTCCTAGGGGTCCGTCTTCCCGTTGTAGGGCTGTATGTGTTGCCCTCGGTATTTTTCCGGGATCCGGGCCGCCAATACCCTTGGGGTAAATGGCGTCCAGGTCCGGAGCTGGATGATGGGTTCCCCGGAGCCCTCGGCTACCTTTTTCTGTAATTCCTCCATTTTGGCCATCATGGCCTCGTACTTGAGGTCTGAATGAGGGGTGGAGGTGGTGGCGTGAGCTTTGTTGGCCTCCATTTCATCAAGCCGGCGTTGGAGGGCCGCAATAATTTCGTCCCGGGGGTCCTTCGGGAGGGTCTCCGCCCCCTGCGAACGAACCCGGGCCGAGTGGGCCTGGTTGATTTGGTGGCGAGCATCGTCGGCATGAAGGGGTGCCTTGCCTTTGTCCCGAGGGGGACGCTCCTCGTCTGCCCTCGAGACAGACCCTCTGCTTTCCTGGGGCCTTGGGAGTGCTTTTCCTCCGAGGCGGTCTTGGACCCCTCGGCGGTCTTGCCCCCCTCCGAGCCGGTTGAGGGCGGAAGTGCGGGGCCTTTCTCTGTTGTCATTGTGGCGGTCCCGGGACTGAACTTCCTGGGAGGCCGTATCTTGGGCCACTACCCCTTCGTCATTCCCAACCCGAGGGATGGGATTTCCGAAGGGGTGTGGCAGAGGGGGAAAAATGATGTTCTCCCCAACTTGGGGTGGAGCCGGATCCAGGGTGCCGAAGGCACCCGGGTTCTGAGTTAGCGTCTAGATGAAGGCGGAGAGCGCCGAATGAACGTCGATGGTGAGAACCGGAGGGCTGACTTGGTCATCGCTCCGGTTTTTCTTCTTGGCCTCGATGCCGAGGCGGGCATCAGGGGCATTTTGCTGGATCTGAAGGCGTAGGTCAACAGCCGCCTGTTCCAGCCCAGCGATGACACCGCCCCTCGGGATCCCTGTGAGAGGCTTCGGGGGCGTTGACGTCGCCGAGGGCCAGGTTCTTGTCTTCTACGTTTTTGGAGTTGGCACGTGTTGTTCTCACCATTCTGGTAGAGGGCTAGTGTTTGGCGAGGGGGGGGGGTTCTTACTTGATTGTTCGAGCTCTCAACGAGAGCACCAAATGATGGATAGTGTACCCGGGGGGTAGCTTATCCGATGGTTTACTGCGGGGAGTAGCTTAGAGAGAAGTCAGAGCAAGTAAGTAGAGAGAGAAAGTGTATTCAGAAAGTATGCAGCGTTTTTGACTTGGTTACAAATGGGGAAAAGGGGTGCTATTTATAGTAGCAATAAATGCCGGACAGGGACACGTGTCAAGCGCCCATTGGCCGAGGGGTCATCTCAACTGGTTGGCGCTGGCAGCCGCATGTGGCCGCATTTAATGCGGCTGTTGGATGGGACGTTTGTACAGGGTACGGTGATCTGTACGCATGTGGCGCGGATATTATGTCGGGAGAGGTGCCCTCGGCTGCAGAGGACTTGCCGAGGGCTCTGAGTACCGGGGACCCCCTGAGTGCCGAGGGCTACTGTTTTCTGCCGTTTTCTCCCAGTTTCTTAGTTTGCTAGAAAACCCATTCTGTGAGAGATTTGAGCCTTCGGCCAGGGGGCCGAAGGCTCCCCCAGTGTGCGCTGTGGGCTGCTAAGTGCTTGGGGCGCCGTAATTCGGGGCCTGCTATGCTTCCTGGGCCGGTTGGGCCTTTATTGGTGTAGTGGGAGTCTGTGGGCCGGGGGTTCCCGGACCATATACTCCATCAATTACATTTATTTTGTTGAGTATTAAGAGTATAATATTGAGCATCATGATACTTTTGAATTATGAATTTATATGGCATTTTAAAATGAGGACAATATATGTCAGAACCAAATGAGCATACATAATTATAAAATGAGTATCGAAAAATTCAAAAGGTCATTTGAAATCGCTAATGTGTTCAAATTCTCATTTGTATATGCTTATTTCGTTTAAGCGTTATGCTCATTTGGTATGTGAGAGCGATGATGCAAAGGTTGGATTGATCTGTCAGGTCAATATCACTAAAATCTAATCTATACACAGCATCAACGTTGTCATCTAGAAACCCAGGTGAGACTCCAACAAATTAGGTTCCATCTCGGCAGCACTGGAGATGGAAGAATGGCGACGGACCAGAAACGCCTAAATTTTGACGAATTGGAGCGTCGGCGATTGAGCAACCGAGGTGAGACTCCAACAAATTAGGTTGCAGCAAGATGGAACCTGCTCATAGTCAGACTGCATCCATGGAAAAACTCTTCGCGCCGCGATGACGGTGACGGTGAAGATCGAATCGATGAAGCATGATGAAGGTCGAGCGGCGATGTATATGGTGAAGAGATCGACGTGCAATAATGGAATGAGAGAAGAATGTTTAAAGTTGAAGGAAATTACAAAATTACCGGGTGTACCTGTACACCCGGATGTACCATATAATTTGCGAGGGATGGATGGGAGAAAGAAAGAGAGGGTGTGGGATGAGAGATGTTTGGAGGGATAAAAAATGATAAAATAAGAAGGCTTTTAGGGGGTGTTTGGAATTCATTCTGCTTGTGCTTCTTTTTTAAAGCATAAGCAGAATCAAAATCAGTTTTCAGAAGCTGGTACCCCCGAACTTCTAAAAAAACTGATTCTAGGAGTAAATTAGAGCACCATAATCATTTCTGCATTTTTACCCAAACACTCCAACTTCTTATTCTGCTCCCTGGAGGAGTAGAAGCAGTTTTAAGAATCACATCCAACACCCCTTTATCCCTCCAATTAGGGATGGACCCGGGCCGGGCCCGGGTGAGCTTTTTTTTCAAATCCTTGGGCCCGGAACCGGCCCGGGTTGATACCGGGTCCGGGCCTAATCGGGCCGGACCCGGTTCAATGTCTATTTTTTTTTGCTTTCTTGTTATCCCCGATCCCCCCCCCTCACCCCACCCCAAACCTCCCCAAAACACCCAGCCCTACCCTAGGAAAAGAAAAAAAAATTGAAAAAAAAAATTGACCCAGACCCGGCCCGAACCGCCCGGGCCGGTTCGCCCAAAACTGGGCCCTGTTTAGTCCATCCTTACCTTCAATCCCTTCTCAAATTGGGGTACCAAACAAATACTCCGTATAATGAAGAGAGAATTCCCAAAATAGGAGCAAAATATAGGCAAAATGCAAAAATAAGAGTATCATGTTTTGAATAGGAGTAACTTTAGTGTTTGGACAAGTATACCCCTACCCAAGCCCTAAGCCCCAACAACTTTTAATTAAATGTTTAATTCATAATAAATTCGAGAAAAAATCAAAAATTCGTAGAAAAATAATTAAAATTTTATAAAATATTAATAAAATAAAAAAGTTAATAAAAATTAATTTTTTTATAAATTTTTTCGTTTTTTAAAAAATTAATAAAAAATAGTAAAACTCCATAAAAAAAATTTAAAAAATATGGATGTCTTTTCCCACCGCCCGTACAACCTTCCTGCACCACCACCTCCGGGCGGTGAAAAAAAATTCCATTTTTCCTAAAAACTGTCTTTTTTCTGAAAATGCCAAAAACATGGCATATTTCTCTTTGCGAATGCCAACATTTTCATTATTTTCTGCCATAAATATGGCATTCGTAATGAACTTGACATTTTTCGCCTGGTGACTTGAGGTGGTGGTGCAGAGGCGGCAGAGGAGGCGGTGAATTTTATTTTATTTTTTTGAGTTTTTTATTTTTTTAAAATTTTTTTTTTTATTCTTTGAAAAATAAATAAATAAATAAATTATTATCGAATAAGTCATAAATTAACTAGGTTAAGATTAAATAAGTCATATTTTAGAATTAACTAGGTTAGGGTTATTAAGGGTACAAAATTAATGTTTACTCCTATTGAAGGAAGTTTTAAGTTCCTTCAATTTTAAGTTTTAAGTTTTACTCCTATTTGTGTAATTATGTTTATGTTTAATCCTATAGTAGGCAATTTCTATCTAAATATGAATAAAAGTCGAGAGGCCTAAAATAACGGCCCAAGCACGCACACATGGTCATGAAGTGGACGGTACCTCCTAGGCTCCGATCCTTCCAAATTTTGACCGGTGTTCGCCGCCCTAATCCTCTGAGTCCCCAACCAGCGCGGACTGCAGTGCGCCAGTGCTTCTACTCGCTGGTCTTCCTATTTCAGGTAAGTTTTATTTTTGTTTCAGTTTTATTTTGGTTAAAAAAAATTATATCAGCATTATCTCCAAAACTTTGACGATTTTCTTCTATGAATTCAGAAATCTACTACCTGGTTTTTGAATTCGATTTCGCATTGCGCCAGTGCCTCTGCTCGCTTAATTGCTAGATTTCTCAAATTGTGGTTTTTAAATCATCATTGGTTTCTCTATTATAACTTTCAGTTTCTTTTTAACTTTCATTTTTCCTCGGCACTTCAACTTTAGAAACACAAAAGTGATATCTCTTGCGATGCCTATTACAATCGATTTTATTATCTCATGTTCTTATGTTTTGTATATTTTGTTCATATGATGTGCCATTTTGAAGCAAATTGATGGTAGTACTTTTTAGATATTTATCAAAATACAATACGGCCCATGATAGTTTATATCGTTTGTTTTCATTGCATCAATGGATGGTATAGCATTTTTTGCAATGTAATCAAAATTGAATGCAAAGATTTATTAAAAAAAGGTATAAACTTCATTATCTCACTAAAGAGTACGTATTTGTTTGTCTTTATATCGTTCATGTGAAAGGACTCAGAGCCGATTCTTGGTGTACTCCAATAGTAATAGCGAACTCTGCACTCCTCCATACAGTAGTACAAACGATACTGATGTACTTACGTGAAATGCCTTTTCTTGTTAAGGCCCACCAAAAGACTTCTCGAGGTACCTATCATATGTCTTTTCTAAGTCAATGAAATCAGAAAAACTTTGTACAGAGAAATCCGTTGTCTTTGGGAATCGAACCCAGGACAACGTGGTTAAAAGCCATGTGCTCTACCAGCTGAGCTAAGACTGCACTCTCAATAAATCAATAAAGTAGGATATTCAAGAAAACAAAAAGTGTTCCATGGACATAGAATTACCTGTTGTTCAATGAACCTTGAATTGAAATAGAAATAAAGAAAGTCTTCATCAAAAACTGAAAACACACAGGTGACAATTCATTTGACAAAAGTAGGATTAGTACACAATCTCTCATTTGTTGTGTGGATGATCTTTTTTCAGCTTATTAGATGATCTTTTTGAGGATATTTACCTATAAAATATGTTTTACACTAAAATTTACAGACATCTATCAAATTCAAATATATTTTCAAATAATCAGTTCAAGATAAAAAAAAATAAAGGACATCTATAGCGTGAAAAAGTACCAAGACATTACTTTTCAAATAGTCACACCCTTGTTTCGCTGGACTAAATGGGCTTGCAAGAGGTGGGAATGAAGAACACCACCAACAACACATGATTCAATGTAGCCATTAAATACAATTTGGAATTTCGCTGGACTAAATGGGCTTGCAAGAGGTGGGAATGAAGAACACCACCACTAACAACACATGATTCAATAGCTGATAAAACATCCATGGCTGATTAAATTTACATTGTAAAATGAAAGGCCTAAAGACAGGCCATTTTTTGCCTTAAATATGATGTCCTTTAATGTAGCTGTGTCACTAATGTTGTATTTGGCTTTTTCTCTCCAGCCTCGTGCAATTGCATTGAAACACTACTGCCATTAATTTCTTTTGGTAACGTGGTCCATTTATTTGTTTATTTTATTTATTTATTTATTTATTTATTTATTTATTAAACACAATAATAGTTTATATAGCAATTGGCCACCTAAATTGCTACAGTTTTCCTGCCCAAAGGTTGTTGCACTATTGCGCTTATATAGATAGATATAGATAGACGTGAGCTGTGGATTTTATTTTCATGTATAGCCTTTCTTGTTAGATGGCCCTGGTTGACGACTGAGCATTTACAAGTTGCTGCTTGCTTCACTTCTAGTAACTCAGAGATCAGAAAATGTGTCGCTTATTCTACCTCCAATATAAAAGATACTTTTCAACCAACATATTATCAACCAATTCACAGATAGCCTGCTTTGCCCGTTCTGGTCAAATTGATGATGCTCGTAAAGTGTTTGATCAACTTTCAAAGAAAAGCATTGCTACATGGAATGCTATGATCTCATGTTACTTCCAAAATCACCAACCAATTGAAGCTCAAAAGTTGTTTGACCAAATGCCTAAAAGGAATATTGTGTCTTGGAATGGGTTGATTTCAGGATACGTGAAAAATAGAATGGTAGATGAGGCAAGAAAAGTGTTTGGAAGAATGCCTGAAAGAAATGTCGTGTCGTGGACAGCTCTTGTTAGAGGGTATGTTGAGGAAGGGTTGATATATGAGGCTGAAAGCCTTTTCTGGCAAATGCCAGAAAAGAATGTGGTGTCCTGGACAGTAATGATGGGAGGGTTGATTCATGATGGGAGGATTGATGAAGCAAAAAGGCTGTATGACATGATGCCAGTGAAGGATGTGGTGTCAATGACTAACATGATTGGTGGGTATTGTCTAGCGGGGAGGGTAGACCAGGCACGTGAGATCTTTGATGGCATGGAAGTAAAGAATGTAGTTTCATGGACATCTATGGTCACAGGATATGCTCAAAATGACAGAGTAGACATTGCCAGGAAGCTTTTTGAGGTCATGCCTGAGAAGAATGAGGTGTCGTGGACATCTATGCTTCTTGGATACACTCAGAATGGAAGAATAGAAGATGCTTGGAAGTTGTTCAAAGAGATGCCTTTAAAACCAACAGCTGCTTGTAATGCAATAATACTCGGTGTAGGACAGAATGGGGAGATTGAAAAGGCAAGGGTGGTATTCGATTCTACAAAAGAGAAGGATGGCGGAACTTGGAGTGCTATGATCAAGGTTTATGAAAGGAAAGGCTGTGAATTGAATGCACTCGGCTTATTTCGTTTGATGCAAAGTAAAGGTGTTCGTCCAAATTTTCCTTCCTTAATTAGCATACTCTCTGTGTGTGCAAGTCTTGCAAGTGTTGATTGTGGTAGAGAGGTACATGCATCATTGATCAGATCCAACTTTGATGAAGATGTATACGTCTCTTCGGTGTTGATTACAATGTATTTTAAATGTGGCGATCTTGTCAGGGCAAGAAGAGTCTTTGACAGATCATCTTCCAAAGATACCGTCATGTGGAATTCTATGATAACAGGTTATGCTCAGAACGGTTTGGGAGAAGAATCTGTTAATTTTTTCAGAGAAATGTGTTTGCAGGGAATTGCGCCCGATGTGGTTACTTTTGTGGGACTTCTGACTGCTTGCAGCTACACTGGAAAGGTGAAAGAAGCAGAAGATATATTTGACTCCATGAAGTCAGAGTACCGAGTAGAGCCAGAAACTGCACATTATGCTTGCATGGTAGATGTACTTGGTAGAGCTGGTCGCTTGACTGAGGCGATGGGTTTGATAGAAAAAATGCCTGTGGTAGCCGATGCAGTTATATGGGGTTCTTTGCTTAATGCTTGTAAAATGCACATGAATCTAGATCTGGCTGAAGTTGCAGCAAAAGAGCTTCTACTTCTCGAGCCCCAAAAATCAGGCCCTTATGTCCTTCTCTCTAATATTTATGCTACAAAGGGTATGTGGGCCGATGTTGCGAAAGTACGGGAAGACATGAGGTCCAGGAAGTTGAGTAAGTCACCTGCTTGCAGCTGGCTTGAGGTGGAGAAGAAGGTGCATATGTTCACTGGTGGAGAGAACAAGCCCCACCCTGAACATCAAATGATTACCAAAATGTTGGATAAATTGGGTTCCATGTTAAGAGAATCTGGATATTGTCCCGATGGTAGCTTTGTTCTTCATGATTTGGAAGAGGAGGAGAGGGCGCAGAGCTTGCGTTATCACAGTGAGAGGTTGGCTGTGGCGTATGGACTTCTTAAGCTGCCAGAAGGAGTGGCCATAAGAGTTATGAAAAATCTTCGTGTTTGTGGGGATTGCCATTCTGCTATAAAGCTAATAGCTAAAGTCACAGGACGAGAGATCATTCTTAGAGATGCCAATAGATTTCATCACTTTAAAGAGGGCTCCTGTTCATGCAGAGACTATTGGTGACGTACAAATGAACATAATAATTGCATAATGCCAGTGGACTGGAAAAAGGCACGGATCGTCAAATCAGTAAGTCTCATTCCTTCTTAGTCATTGTGGCATTGAATGTGTAGCATGCCTGCGCAGTGCGCACACAGTTTTAAACTGAGGGCAGAACCCCTTTAATGGGCAATCATCTAATTTTGATGCAGAATGATCTTTCACTATTCATTATTCTTCTTGATGAGTTGATGTAGGATAAAAAATACTACCTCCATCCCACTAATATTGGGACGGAAGGGAGTGGCACGATTATTAAGAAAAGTAGGTTTATGTGGTTGATATTAACTGATAAAGTAAGAATTGAGTTAGAATGATTTAGAGCACACAAACTTTACCAAATTTGGTATGAGACAATCTTAGTGGGATTTCCCGAAAAGGTAAAATGGGACAATATTAGCGGGACGGAGGGAGTATCCCACATCAAGAAAAATAATGAATAGTGAAAGATCATTCTGTTTTTTATATAATGTTAGTGATAAGATCTAAACAGAAGTAATGTTTATGATATCTGTATTTTTCAGATCTCCCAGTTAAACGAAGGACAAGCCATATGTTAAAATGGCCAAAGTTAACAGCGCGCAAACCTAGGTACCGATTCTTCAAAAAGACTGTTTGTCTGATCAATTTGTTTGTTTAGATCGTCGTTAGTTCGAAATCAGTAACTAACAATATTTTACTTGCAGATGGTCCCAAATGGAATTGCTGAAATCAAGAGAGTAATTTCAGAACTAAAGATGAAGATGAATCTGTCTATGAAGTTATATTGTGATAATAAGGTAGCAATTAGTATTGCTCATCATAATCCTGTGCTACATGATCGTACTAAACATATTGAAGTGGACAGACACTTCATAAAAGAGAAGATTGAAGCTGGAATCGTGTGTACACCATTCATATCTACCAAAGAACAAACAGCTGATATCTTCACAAAGGAGTTGTTCAAACCAGTGTTTGAACTACTTATAAGCAAGCTGGGAATGTATGATATATACTTACCATTTACCAACTTGAGGGGGAGTGTAGAAAAATGTGACATGTATTTCTATTTTTTAATTAATGTACGTATGTAGCTGTATGGATAAGAGTTTAGAGCTGTTAGACCTCTTTAATTAAGAGATAAGCACGCAGTTAGATAAGATCCTATATTTTAGGATCTGTGCAGGGAGTTTGTTATTTGTAATTTGTATATATACTCCTGCCGGATGGCTCAATAATATTCAAGGAAGATTAATTCCTAAAACCTACATTGTACAAAGTCAAACAATGGAATGGCTGAAGTTTAGCAATGATACTATAATATATTAATACTCTATGGTTCTGTAAAGTTCTATTTTAAATGAAAGTGGCATAATCTGTTTTTGAAGTCCAGGTTTCTTATACTCTAGCTAACCTTATTTTTGTTAGTCTCAGCTACCTCAAGTCTTTCCTATATAATATTGTAAGAAAATTCCATTCACATTATACACATAATTGTCTATTTTTTCAAATATATTAAACATTGTTTTCATTTCATTAAGCTATCAAAGACCTAATCCCCGCTCAATTGTTTTTAAAACTTCAACCCTGCACCTATGTTTTAAGTTTAGCTGGCAAAAGTTGTATTTAAATAGCAAGTGTTGTATACGATATTAATCTTTGTTCTCTATTCTGATATATATATATATATATATATATATATATATATATATATATACACACACACACACACACATATATATACATACATATATATATATATACACACATATATATATATACATATGTATATATATATACATATATATATATATATATGGCATTTCCACTTGACATGTAACGTGGTCACCTTCACAAATACCCACACACAATATTTGAAATCATATTTTATATATTGGAAAGACAATAACTTTGAAGATCAGAGTAATGAAGATCAGGGATTAGCTATGGACATTGAAGAGATCCATTGTTGGGCAGGTTCTTGCTTATTTGTACGATAAAGTGCTACTGAAGCTGAAGATGCCTCAAGTCTTATTGCCATTTGCATTCTTTTTACTCTTTGACTTTCTACTATTCAACTTTGTACTATAGATGATGTATACCCGAAACCCCTAATTAATCCCACATTGATTAATTGAGTAGCATTCTTTTTACCACTGTATAGTCAACATTGAGTAAAGTCAACATTTTTTGTTAAACAATGTTGAAGCTAAATCCTCCCTATTGATAATTAGTTCAACTTTTAGTAATTAAAATTTACATATTCTGAAACTACATTAAAATCTCTAAATCTTTATAAAATTGCACAATTCAAATTAGAATAGAATTAAAAGTTGATATCCTAATTAAGTAAATAAAAAGTTGTCTTTAAAGTTGACAAAAAAAGTTGACTTTGCAAATCAATTTAGGACGGAGATAGTATTATTTAACTTTTCTAGTATGATCATATATAAATTTTTACTTCTCAGATGTTAACAATGTATCATTTCGAATGCTATATTGCTATCTACTTGGAGATTTCTTCTTTTAGGATTGTATCTAATGTATCTATGTGCACCACTTTATCCTAGTTGTTTTGGACGAGAAGACTATTCTCAAAAACATTTTGCTTTTATATAATACAAAGTATTGGATTTTGTTTTTATATAATATATAATGATATGTTTATTTTTTTCTCTACTTGGTTGTCGAGTAGGATTATTATTTAGAAAGAATGACAAAAATATTGCTTGTAGGGTTTACATGGTCAAAAATGTTTACATGGTCAAAAATGTTTTTGTCAAAAATATGTATCTACCTAGAAAGAATAGGGTTTACTCGCAGGAGTCAGTTTTTTGTCTATCTTTAAAATGTTCCAGAAACAAGATCTCATTTCCTTAAATGGCAAGTTAATCTGCATCAAAACAATGCCAAACAGTGCAAAACAGTGCCAAGCAGTGTCGAAACAGTGCAAAACAGTGCCAAACAGTGTCGAAACAGTGTCAAAACAGTAAAATTTACCCAATGTTAAGTTTATTTCTTTAATATGTGTGTAGGTCAAACTGTGAAGTTCATTGTGAGACGGAGGGAGTAGAAGATAAAAAGTAGAAAAAAATAAATGTAGTTAGGTATTTTTAAAGAAAAAACTTACCAAAAGGGAAAATGTTACAACCTTTTAGATATATCTTAAAAATAAAAGTGTAGCAAACTTTTAAATACGGTGGAAATATATTTTTGATATCTTAAATTTGTAAAGTTGTAAGATATACTCCCTCTACCCCAGATAGAACTTGACGTTTGTTTTTGACACGATATTTTAGAAGTTCAATTAATAGAAGAACCAATATTTTGCACGCCCTTTGACTTTTGGGGGAATTAATGTTATTCACCCAAATGTAAAAAGAAAGAATGCCTGAAATATTAGCAGCGGACTCTCAAATGACTAAAGTATGACCTTTTTCCATTTTGGACGCATAAGTGACTAGAATAGGAGCTATGGTCCAAATTACCCTTGCCTAACACTAATTCATTTTCTGTCCTTTACTTTTCTACCTCCCCTGTAACCACTCATTCGACGGATGAGAACTGAAGTAGTAACAATGAAGATTCATGGTGGCGGCTCCGATGAAGACGTTGAAGCGGCGACAATTGGGGCTCACCTGCGCTCGTAAGACAGAGCCGCCCGCTGCCGCTGCGTACACCCCTTCTTAAGAAACCGTTAGATTCTCCGATCGAACCGCCGCCGTCACTCTTCTTCTTCTCCTTTCTTCTTGACTGCAAATTTATCGCCGCTTCAGTGCACCTCCGTCGTTTTCGCCGACGGTGTGTCTCGATTGCCGCTTCTTTGGAGCACCTTCGTCGTAGTCTTCTTCGATGGAGCGTCTCCATAGCCGAAGCTCAAAAACCTGTCGAGATCTACATATTTCTGGCTCCCCACAGCTAGATTTTTCAGATCTAGGCGGCTAGGGTTTTGGTTGAGTGGTGGGGCGGTGATAAACCGGCAAGCGGTAGTGGCAGGGCCGGATGGGGGTTGTGCTAGTGTGAGTGGGGTGCGCGTTGTGAACTGTGGCGGGGGTATGCGTTGTGGTCATCGGTGACTGGCGTGACAAAGGTGCAGGGATTGGGGCTGGGGCTAGGTCTGGAAGGTGGCTGAGGGCTAGGGAGGGGTGGGGGGGTTCGATTCGGGGTGGGGCGGTGGTCGGCGGCGGTTTCCGGCTGTGGAGGTCGGTGGCGATTTCCAGCGGTGGCGCTGGTAGGGTATGACGGTGGTCACTGGCCGGAGCATTGGTCACGGGGCGCTGGATGTTGGTCACTGGACAGGAGGTGGTCACTGGACGGGCAGATGTTGGTTACTGGACGGGCGGACATTGGTCACTGAACGGACAGACGTTGGTCACTGAACGGGCATACGTTGGTCACTGAATGGGCAGACGTTAGTCACTGAATAGGAAGTCACTATGACGGAGGTTACCGAATGATATGTCACTGTGACGGACTAGATCACTGTTTGATAAAGTCACTAGGGGTCAGGGGTAATTTTGTAAGTGTAATGTTAATTAGTCACATTTTTGGAAATTAAAGAGAAAATTAACTTTTTTGTCCATTTGTTAATTTTTAGTAATATTGGTGACCTAATGTCACGTCCCGGACCGAATCCGAGCCACGTAGACAACCGTCGTACAACCCGATAAGAACAACAATCGTTCATCCCTATTTAATTGTACAAGGCGTCCGATTGATTCTATTGCCAAACCGATTAGTAAACACATACAATCAACATCAATATCGTAATCAACAAATGCGGAAATAATAATATGTTTAATATTTAGCCACACGTGGCAAACACGAGCACGCATTGTAACACCGACCCCGAGCATATTTACTTTAGTAAATTATGTAATGAACCTTGAAAGATGATTTGTGAATTTGCGTAATTGTAAATTTTTATTATTTCTTTTACGTGAATAGTAAATTGCATGTGGGGCCCACAGCGGGAACGGGGACCGCCCGATAATTCCCGAACCACATATTATATTCATCTTGGTCTAGATAATATGTATATGGTGGTGGATATTTTATTTGGGCCATAAGAAAGGCATGAGGTTAACCGGTTGGTCAAACGGGGCCCAATTACCGGTATTGGCAATTTAACGGATAACAGCCCGAAACGAGTTGGTCAAACGGGGCCCAATTCGGAGACTCCTAAATTAATGTTGGGGAATATACATCTATTCTAAAGGCCCATAATTATTAGGAACACGTGATATAATTTATTTAGCCCGATAAAATAAAATATAATTAAAACGAGCCGAGAAATACAACTTTCGGGGCCAATTGTACACACCGGGACGTAATGGGATGACCTCCCACATGAGTGGGGGCCATCCCACGTTTTTGTGAGCTCCAATTGACAGAAGGGGAGCTGAAGTGAGACAAAAGGGAATGGGTTGGAAGGACATAAGCATGAGGGAGTGATTGGAGACAACCCACACCCCTCCTTTGACTTATACTCCCATTATTTCTCCAAGGATTGAGAAGAGCAATCCTATCCTTTCACTCCTAGCCATTCAACCAAAGAAAGGGGGAGAGAAGCTCTAGAGGAAGCTTTCACACGGCCCAAGCTTGAGGGAAGCAGCAACAACAAACAATCCTAGGAGAAAACTAGTTAGAAGAAGGTAAGAACTCATTTATCTTCTTTAACTAGTTACTTTGTGTATGATTTTTTTGGGGATCATATGATGAGTTAAACATGATGTTCTACACGTTTAAAAGTGTAGAATATTGATATAAAGTGATGATATTTAACTTAGAAGAGTTGGTGAATCGATAGGAGTCGAAATCGCCGGAAACCGCCACTTTAAGGGAGCTGCCCGTTTTTGCAGAACACGAAAGCCGCCCGGCTTTCGTGAAAGCCACCCGGCTTTTGCCCAGGCAGTCCAGTTTTGCCTTTGCATCGGTTTAAAACGAGGATTTATCGGGGAGCTCAACGAAGGCAACTATTTCAGCGCATCATAAGGTGAGGATGGCTGACTATATTGCTTATAATTAGTGAGTTAATTTCATGAGATTAACGAAGGTAATTAAATACGTTTTTATGGATTATTAATGATTAATAATGCCTAAAAATGAAAAGACTAAATGTCTAGAGAAAAAGGAGCATGATCTACAAATTTAGGAGTAAATTGTGTATGTTCATGTGTTATGAGTATGTTGACTTGAAAGTGGAATTTATTATGAAACATGTGTTGAAATATACTTTTTCTTCATATTAGGATATATGAGTGATTAAAAGTGATATTTTGGATATTGAGATAAATGATATTTTCAAAGGAAAATCAGTTGGAATTATCT